CTGTTGCTGCTGCTGCTGCTGCTGCTGCGGGTGCTGCAGGAGGCTGCGGGCGAGGAGTCGGAGGGGGGGGGCAGCAGCTCGGACTTGGAGCGAGACGAGATGTCGGACAGTTTGTCTGCGGAGGAGCCGCAGCGGGGCTCAGCAGCAGCAGCAGCAGCAGCAGCAGCAGCAAACCAGCTGGCGGACTTCTCGCGGCAGGCGCTGGGGGCCTCGGGGCTGCAGCTGCCCCCCGCAGTCTACGGGGGGCCCCACTTGGTGCTGCCAGCAGCAGACAATTTGCTGCACTCGCGGCGGCTGCTGGCGCCTGCGGTGTTGCCGGGTGTACGTACACTGTGGGCCGGCATGAACTTGCTGCCGGGGCCCTACGCCCACGTGGGGGCCCCCGTGGGGGCCCCCGTGGGGGCCCCCGTGGGGGCCCCCGTGGGGGCCCCCCAGCTGCACCCCGCAGTGCCGCTGCCTTACGGGGTTTCTGTTGCTGCTGCCAGGCCCATGCAGGGCCTGCCGCTGGGGGGCCAGCCGCTGCACCTCTGGCGCATGCCGGACGCTGCGGGCCGCGCCTTCGCGCCCAAAAAGAAGACCAGGTGAACCTCCAGTTTTGCTGCAGCTGCTGCTGCTGCTGCTGCTGCTGCTGCAGCGGCGGCGGCGAGGCTGCGCGGGCTGCGGACCCACTTAGTCTTTTAGCTGCTCAGAGGCTGAGGCTGAGAGTCCGCAGAGTTGATGCAGCGAAAGTAGAAAGCTGGAGATCCAGCAAAGAAGGCAAAGTGCGCCGTAGGTAGAGTTTCGCGCTGCTTTCCAGCAAGCCAACTGGGAGTGCGCGATTAGGCGGGAAGCCGCGGACTTGCGCCGAGTTTGGATGCAAATAGAGATAAAACTTGCAAAAAGTGTTCAGAAAAACAAAAAGAAGACTGAAAAATGCAGCGCAAGACTTCAAGAAGTGAAGTTCCTTCCGCGCGCACCCGCGGCACAAATATTCAACTTTTTCGGGTGTCTAGGCAGCTCCGCACTTCGGATTCTCTCCATTTGAAGGGCATTTCGCGCAAAAGAATGCACAATTAAATGCAGCATTTCTTTTTTTAAGTTTTTAATGGATATGCGGTGGAGTTTTGTGTTGGTTTCCCTCTTTATTTCCGGCGCTTTGCGCGCGCACTGCACGGCCGTCCGCAGCAGACAAGGGGTGGTTTCCGCGGACTCCGAGGCTCCAGAGAAGAAAGCTGGCGAAGAAGAAGCGACGGAAAGTCAAGAAAATGAAAAAGAAGAAGAAGAAACAAAAAAAGAAGGCAAGTTTCCGCGAAGATCGCAGCAGTTCAACTTTTCTTGAATTCGCGCTGCAGCGGAAACCGAGGCCGAGGAAATGGGTAACTGCAACGCAGCAGCCGAACTTGCGAACTTGCATGCAATTTAAACTTGAAAAAGATTATTCTTTGGCGGCCAAAAACTTGGAAACTGAAATTAACCACAGAGAGCAGCTGCAGCTGTCGGAGAAGAAAGCGGTGGGCGCTGCTGCTGCTGCTGCTGCTGCTGCTGCTGCTGCTGCTGCTGCTGCTGCGCGCTTTTCTATTAATTCAAAAACAGCTTTTTGCAAAAAGCGGAATAATCGCAACTCCTAAACAGGAACAAAAGGCGGAGAAAGAAGTGGAGAAAGTTGAGGCCAAACCCCCGGCGTGTTCAGTGCAGCAAGTGCGTTTTGACCAGCAGCAGCAGCAGCAGCAGCAGCAGCAGCAGCAGCAGCAAAACTTGAATTTCGCTGTCTCCGCGAACACAGACTGGAAAGCTTCTGGTGGCCAAAGACCCCACAGATGTGCTTTCTGTGGGGCCCTTTGCAGCCACAATTTCCAAAAGACACTTTGCTGTGCATTACCCCGGTGAGCAGCAGCAGTTTTCTTTTTTGCTGCTTCTTTTGGACTTTAATTATTTTGCTGCTTCTTTTGGACTTTAATTATTTTCCAAACTTGCAAATAGACCATCCCGAGGCGCCCTTCATTAAAATCCCCATCATCGAGATTCAAACGCCGCTCGAAACCCTCAAAAGGAGCCGCAGATGTCCGTCCAAACCCTAGGGTTTAGGGTTTAGGGTTTAGGGTTTAGGGTTTGCGGGGCGGCAGGCTTCAGGCTGTTCCACAAGGGCTCGCCGCGTCTGCTTTGCGCAGAAACCACTGCAGAGCGAAAGTGCGTTTTGGGGATTTCTGTCTTTTGCAAAAAGTCTTTTAAATTCCATTTAATTCATTTCTTTTTCTCAAAACAGCAATTGGATGAAAGATATTTATAAAGCCATCTTTTGCATCAACACTGAAGTTCGTTCGACAGAAAGTTCTGCTCCAGAAGTGCCGCCGACGGGTAACTTGGCTTTGCCTTTTGAGCTGTACGTACACCTCAACTTGCATGCAGAAAAAGGCGAGCAAGTTGAACTGCCGGACAAAAGCACCAAAGTGGAAGTCAGTTGGTTTTATTTCAGTTAATTCTTTCGAAATAATTCAATTAATTATTTATTTATTTAATTTCTTCTTATTTTCCAATTCTTTCCATCTTCCAGCGCTGGACTGCCCAACAAACCAAACAAAGTGAGCCACCCCTCCCCCCATTTACCAGCTGGCTTGCTACAAAAGCCAAGCAACTGGCTAGCCAGCTAGCTAGCTAGCCAGCTAGCTAGCTAGCTAGCTAGCCAGCTAGCCAACTAGCCAGCTAGCTGGCCAGCTAGCTGGCTAGCTAGCTAGCGCTGAGCGCCGTTGGTTGTGGTGTATGTACAGCGTGGCTTTCAGGGGAGAAGATGTTTGCAGAGGCCGAAGTAAAAAAAAAGAAAATAAAAATAAAACAAAAAGTGGATTTTAAATAATTGTAAAAAAAGAAAAAGAAAATAAAATAAAAAGTGGATTTTAAATAATTGAACAGGGAGGCGAAGTTGCAGCCAAGGAAGAGCAAAAAGGAGTTCCCGAAATAGAGGTCTGGGACTTTGAAAGTCTTTGAAATTAAAAACAAATTTAATTTTAATAAAAATGCAGATCAGCGCGAGCCAGTTTGGCCAGCCGCCCAAGGTGCGTGCGGTGTACATACACCTCAGCGCTGCAGAACTGAGGAACAACGAAAGAACAAAAGAAGTCCAAATCAAATTTACTTTTTCATGTTTTCTCTCCTCAGGTTTCTGTCAACGGAGACGAAGTTGCAGTCCCCACGCTTTCCAAAACAGAAGACAAAATGAACGCAGGATCCATGGAACCCTAAACCCTAAACCCTAAACCCTAAACCCTTGAAATCAGGCGTCGTAGGCGGCGAGTCTGTCTTTGCGCACGCCTGAGAAGAACAGAAAAGTGCAAATTATTATAAATGATTTTTTAAACCAAAGCCTCCGAAAGGCCGAGAAGAGCTGCAACACAACTTCAGGTGTACGTACACTCCGTTATCTATTTCAGGTGTACGTACACCTGAAGTCACGGAGACTCACCGAAAGGGGTCATCCCTCTTTCCACTTTTGTTTTTCTCTTCTTTTCAGGAATTGCATTTTGCTGCTGCTGCCAGTGCCTTTCCTTTTTGGGTACAAACTAGAAACATAAGCAGCACATACAGCAGCAGCAGCAGCAGCAGCAGCAGCAGCAGCAGCAGCAGCAGCAAAAGCAGCTGAATTCGTCCAGCAGCTGAAGGCAGTTTCTTCAGCGTCTAAGCAAATGAATATAATTTATTATTCATTCAAAATCAGTTTTATATTTTAAAGCATTTAATTTAAAATGGCAAATAAATACAATTTATTATTTATTTCTTAATTACCTCTTTCTCCCTAAATGGGGCCAGTTTCTTCAGCGAGACTTGCGCATTAAGTTCAGCATCTGTCCTGCAGCAAAAATAAAATAAAATAAAATAAAATAAAATAAAATAAAATAAAATAAATTTGAAAAGGAATTAAAACAATTAAAACAGAAACTGCAATTAAATTGAAACAAAAACATCCAAAAGACTCGTGGGAACCTCAAAAAGAAGTTAATTGCAATTTTGCAAAATGCCAAATTCAAAAAGTGGAATGCGAAAGAAAGCGGCCAGCTGTACGTACACCCGAAAGCGGGTAAACCCACTTTTAATTCGAGCAGAATAATTCAAAATAAAATGGAAATCCGCAGAAATAGAAAAATGGTAAAAACAAAAAGGGAAAATAAGGATAAATAAACAAGGCTAATTATCGAGTCTGCGCAAAAGGGTTTAGGGTTTAGGGTTTAGGGTTTAGGGTTTGGTACTTTTCGAGTATGTCTTCCAGAGTCATTCCGTAGTTGTTTGGCTGCACTTTTCTGTACTTGAATCGAGTCAGCAAGTCTCCTCCAATTATATCTTCATAATTCAATGCAAAGTATTCATTTATTGCTTCTTCTAAACTCTCCGGCACTGCGGGGCCTCCGGGCATTCCTTGGAAGTCTTTCGGGGGCTGTACGTACACCGCAACGCAGCAGGTGTCTGTACACCCGAGACTGCGCCGCAGCTTCTGGCCGCTGCGCGGCGGAATTTCGGGCTTTTTGACTTCAATTTAGTTCGCATTTCTGTTGCATTTCGGTGGCCTTTTGGCCTTTCTTTTGTTTTAATTATTTGGCGTTCAAAAATGAATTTAAATGCGCAGAGAAAACTGAAAACAGGCCGTGTGGTGCGTCGAGCTGTCTGTACACCCCACGGGCGCAAGCCCAGCCCCCTGCTGTCGTGTTTTGGCCATTTCGCGCGCTTTTGAGCTGCTTTTTGTTCCTTTTTGGTTTATTTGTTGTTATTTATTATTATTTATTATTTATTATTATTTACTATTTATTATTTGTTGTTTATTTCGCATTTATTGGCGCTTTCCGCCTTTTTAAACGCCAAGACCCACCTTGCAGTGCAGCGGCACCGTCCGCTTCAGCATCTGATGCGGGTGGCGCACATTTCGGAAGCAAAGTTTGCACAGAGTGAAGTTTTCGCACTTGGCGCAATCAAACCTAATTAAATAAACAAAACAAAAAAATAAATTAAAAATAAACAAATAAACAAATAAACAAATAAATAAATAAATAAATAAATAAATAAATAAATAAATAATAAATAAAAACAAACTGCAAATTGCAAATCAGCAACGAAGTCCAAGAGCCATATATGTAGAGCAGCAGCAGCAAGTGGCGAATGCATGCGAGAAGTAAAACTTTAATAATTAAAAGTGGAAGGGAAAAAAGAATTTTTTTAAAGTTCAAAAGAAATAAAATTAAAAAGAAAAATATAATTTGATGAAAGGGCAAGAAATAAGCAAAAGGAACAAACCAGACACATCAAAAATGCGCCTAGGGTTTAGGGTTTAGGGTTTAGGGTTTGCGAAACTCTCAGAGACAACTCTGCGCCGCAGATATCCTAGGGTTTAGGGTTTAGGGTTTAGGGTTTGCTACCTCTTTTTGCCGCCGGCAATTCCCTTCCCGCAGCCATCGCACATCCACCACTCTCCCTGCATCCCTTCTTCCTCTTGCTGCTGCTGCTGCTGCTGCTGCGTGTCTGTGTCTGCTGCTGCTGCTGCTGCTGCAGCTTCCGTCTGCTCTTCGTCCCCCTCATCCTGCTGCTGCTGCTGCTGCTGCTGCTGCTGCTGCTGCTGCTGCTGGTCCTCTGCGTAGCCCTCGACGGCCTGCGCCTGTCTCTGTCTTCTTTTTTGCAACTTCAAAAGTCTCTTTTGCTTTTTGTTCATCGCCTCCAAGTTTGTCTCTTCGGAGACTGACAGCAAGTCCGCGCAGGACTCGGGCACAGCTGCTGCAGCACGAAGCAGCAGCAGCAGCAGCAGCAGCAGCAGCAGCAAGTGTGGCGGCAGCAGCGGGCGCGGAAGCACCAGTAGCAGGCGAAAGTGCAGCAGCGCAGACGTTCGAAGCGGCAGCAGACACAGCAGCAGCAGCAGATGTAGCCAAAGCGGCAGCAGCAGCAGCAGCAGCAGCAGCAGCAGCAGCAGCAGCAGCAGCAGCAGCAGCAGCAGCAGAGGCCCTTTTCTTCGCAGCAGCTGCCAGGCCAAACGGAAGAGAAAGAAGCAAGTGGAAGCAAACAAATGCAATTAAAGAGTTTAATAAACACAAAAAGGAAAATAAAAAATAAAATTAAATCCAAAAATCCCACCAAGACATTTTTTGTCTTCTGCTTCTCTTTCATAATCCTCTCCAAACAAAACCCCCATTTCTTTGTCGTGGCTCTCGGGGTCGAAAGAGCCCTCGAGGTTCAACACCGCGCTCACAGCTGCAGCAGCAGCAGCAGCAGCAGCAGCAGCGGCAGCAGCAGCAGCAGCAGCAGCAGTTGGAGCAGCAGTAGTTGGAGCGGCAGCGAGGCAGACGTTCAAGCAGCAGCAGCAGCAGCAGCAGAACAAACGGCAGCAGCAGCAGGGAAACAGCTGCAGCAGCTTCAACGATACCAGCAGCAGCAGCAGCAGCAGCAGCAGCAGCAGTAGCAGCAGCAGCAGCAGCAGCAGCAGGACTCACTGCCAGCATCGAGGCCTCCAATTTCTTGAATTAATTTTATCTTTTCTTTAATTTCTTCTTTCTTTATGTTTTTCAGTCGCTTCAACTCCTCCTGTCTTCGCACCTAAGCAGCAAACCCCCAAACCCTAAACCCTAAACCCTAAACCCTAAACCCCAAACCCTAAACCCTAAACCCTCTCATATCAATGCACCACTTTGGCTGCTGTAACCCTCAAACCGTAAACCCTAGGGCCCTCGTTTGCAGTTGTGTACCCCCCAGAGCTTAAACCCTAAACCCTAAACCCTAAACCCTAAACCCTAAACCCTAAACCCTTGTGTTTTTCACCATTTCTTCCATTTTCTTTTCTTTTTTTTTCCTTCTTTGCTGCTTTCTTTTATCGTCAGTTTGCCGAACTGAATCTTGAATAAAACGCGGAAAAGAGCGGATTGTGTCTCCTCCCTCTTCTTCGAACCTGCAGGTCCCAAACCCTAATTTAGGGTTTGCGGTTTTGGCGCTTTCGGTGGTTTGTTAGCCCTTTCTCACTCTTTCAGCCATTAACATTTTTGTTTATTATTTTTATTTATTTTAATTATATTTAATTTACTTTTGATTATATTTAATTCAATTTCAATTATATTTAATTTACTTTTGATTATATTTAATTCAATTTCAATTATATTTAATTTACTTTAATTAAATTCCATTTATTTCCAATTTATTTAATTTACACAAAACACAAAATGACAGAAACAAAAAAGGAATCAAACAGACGAGTGACAAATAAATAAACAAATAAATAAAAAACAAAATAAACAAAACAAATTAATTAATTAATTTAATTAAACAAATAAATAAATAAATAAATAAATAATTAATTAATTAATTAAAATAATAAAATAAATAAATAAAAATAAATAAAATAAATAAAAGACCTGAAGTTGTAGGCCGCTTCGAAAGCCTCCGCCTCTTCCATTTCTTTTTCTTCCGCCTCTTCTTCGGAGTCCCTAATTAGAAAATAAAATCATTAAAATAAAATAATTAAATTAAATTAATTAAATTAAATTAATTAATTTGAATTAATTAAATTAAATTAATTAATTAAATTGAAGTAATTAATTTAAATTTGAAAGAGTTAAATTAATCGAAAATGGAAATTCGTCAGGGGTAAAACAAATGCGCTGCTTCGTTTCCCTAAACCCTAAACCCTAAACCCTAAACCCTAAACCCTAAACCCTAGATTAAGAGACTGTCGAGCCTCAGATGGGAAGCGATAAATGAAGCAGCAGCCGGAAACCCTAAACCCTAAACCCTCAAGCCTACTCAATCCTGAAACCTCAGACCTCCTAAACCCTAAACCCTAAACCCTAAACCCTAAACCCTAAACCCTAAACCCTCACTGAACTCGTGGCTACCTGTAGACGAATTCTTTGTTCTTGTCTTCTCTCCATTCTTCATTGAGAATATAATTCCTCAAAAACTTTTCGTTTTCGTCCAGAGTCCCGTCGTCCTCTGAGACACAAACAACGCTGCTGCTGCTGCTGCTGCTGCTGCTGCTGCTGCTGCTGCTGCTGCTGCTGCTGCTGCTGCTGTTACTGACTGGTGCTGCTGCTGCTCTTGTTGACTGTTGCTGCTGCCGCTGACGCTGGTCCTGTTCCTGCTGCTGATTCTGCTGCCGCCGCTGCTGCAGCTGCTGCTGCTGAGGGCGCTGCTGCTGCTGCTGTTGCTGCTGCTGCTCTCCTAGCAGCACTGCTGCTGCTGCTGCTGCTGCTGCTGCACTGGTTGAACGAAATCTAAAGACATTTAGTTCATCTTTTTTATTTGAGCTGTACGTACACCTCAACTCACCCCACAATCGAGCCAATGCAGAATCCGCAGCGCTGCCTCTCTTAGAATTCTTCTCCTGAGCTCCAAACCCTAAACCCTAAACCCTAAACCCTAAACCCTAAAACCTAAACTTTAAACCCTAAACGCTTGACCGTAAGCTGAAGGCCCTAAACCCTGAGTCGCGAGGCCATGGCCATCCAGCTCAGAGCGCACTCTCAAAGGCGCAAAATTTAGTCTCAAGCTTTAGGGTTTAGGGTTTAGGGTTTAGGGTTTAGGGTTTAGCGTACTTGAAGGAACTGTTTGTATTCTTCTTCTTCCCTTTGCAGATCTGTTTGTTTCTTTTCTTTAAGCTCAAACAATTCATCTTCGCCATCTTCAGCTTCTGCATTTCCTTTTTCTTTGCTTCTCTTCTTTCCCTTTTTGCTGCTGCTGCTGCTGCTGCTGCTGCTGCTGCTGCTGCTGCTGTCTTCCGCTTCCCAAAACGACTTCTTAAGTGCACTCATTTCGTCTTCGTAAGAAGCGCCTATAAGTAGAAAACACAATAAATAAATAAATAATTAAATAAATAAATAAATAAATAAAAATAAATAATAAATAAATGCCAGTGTAATATTTAATTCTTCGATGAAAATTAAGAGCATCAGCAGCAGCAGCAGCATAAACACAAAGACGCACGAGCAGCAGCAACAGCAGCAGCAGCCACAGCAGCAGCAACAGCAGCAGCAGCAACAGCAGCAGCAGCAACAGCAGCAGCAGCAACAGCAGCAACACAAGCAGCACCACCACAGCCGCGAGCACTTCAGCAGCAGCAGCAGCAGCAGCAGCAGCAGCAACAGCACCACAAGCAGCAGCACCACAACCACTAACACCCCAGCAGCCGCAGCCGCAGCAGCAGCAACAGCAGCAACAGCAACAGCAGCAGCAGCAGCAGCAGCAGCAGCAGCAGCAGCAGCAGCAGGACCATTTGTTTGTTGCTTTTGCTGCTGGATGTTTTCTTCTTCTTCAAAACCCTCGGCTCCTTCTTCTTTGAGGGTTTTGAAAACGAAGTCGCTAAACCTCAAGGGTTTCTGCAGCAGCAAATTCGAACTTTGAAAAATAAATTAAATTATTAAATTAGCAAACAATGAATTTTATTTTTGAAATTAAAATCTATTTATTTATTTATTTATTCTATTTATTTATTTATTTATTTATTTATTATTTATTTATTTATTTTCAATTTATTAATTTATTTATTTATTTGTCGGGCACCAAATAAGCAAATAAGCAAGCGAACAGACAAATAAACAGAAAATACATAAATAAAAAACAAACAAACAAACAAACAAACAAATAAATAAATAAATAAATAATCATTATTAATTAATTAATTAATTAATTAATTAATTAATTAATTAATTAATTAATTAATTAATTAATTAATTAATTAATTAAAAAATAAATAATAATTGAAAATAAAACAAAGAGGCCTACGGGCTGGGGTTTTTGGGGCTGGGGGGCTGCGAAGTCCTTATCGCTAAAAAAGGGTTTTTGAGTTTCGTAAATTTTAGGGTTTTTATTTTTGAGGAAATTCAAAACCCTCAAAAACTTCTTTTCCACTTTTGGAGTCAACAAAACCGCGTCTTCGTCTTCTTCCGAACTCGACTCTAATAAAATAAATAAATAAATACAATTAATTAATTAATTAATTAATTAATTAATTAATTAATTAATTAATTAATTAATTATATTTGTTTTGTTTTGTTTTGTTTTGTTTTATTTAGTTAATTTGTTTTATTTGATTTGGTTGGCGGGTTGTTGGGCTGCAAGAGTTTCGGGGAGAGCGGCGATTGAGGGTTTGGCGGGGGGAGGGAAAAGGGCTAGGGTTTAGGGTTTAGGGTTTAGGGTTTAGGGTTTAGGGTTTGAGGGTTGGGGGTTATTGAGGTTGAGTCGAGGGTTTAGAGCTGGGCAGAGAAGGGCTAGTATTAGCCTTTCGGGCCTCGCTGTTTCACAAACCACGATTTAGGGTTTAGGGTTTAGGGTTTACCGCTGAGCTCTTCGAGTTCCTCCTTGTGTTTCGCGAGGAGTTCTTTCCTTTTTCTTTGGTCATATTTCTCTGCATATCTTTTGTTAATTGTCAAACTGTCGTTTTTGTCTTCTTTATTTTTTCCATTTTTCCCTTTGCTGCTGCTGCTGCTGCTGCTGCTGCTGCTGCTGCTGCTGCTGCTGCTTTCCCCCTCGTCGCCAGAGTCAGCAAACAAGTCCTTTGCAGCAGAGCCAGGCGGCTCTTTCTTAGACTTACGCGGCATCTCTAAACCCTAAACCCTAAACCCTAAACCCTAAACCCTAGGGAGGCCTTCTGCTGGGGAGCAGGGGACAGAGAAAGAAGAAATAAAAGGATTTTGAAAAGGCGGGCTCGGGATTTCAGCTGGCGGCGAAGATCATGTTTCGAGGGTTTAGGGTTTAGGGTTTAGGGTTTAGGGTTTCTGCGAAGGGTTTAGGGCTTAGGGTTTGGCGCCCTCGGGCTAGCCGCGGGGCTCAAAAAGCACAAATAAATCAATTTATTTATATTTTAAAATAAATAAATTAAATTAAAATGAAAAGAAATTCAAATTTGCAAATTGGCTTCGCCGCCGGGCTGCATGTACACCCGAGCCCCACAGCTTCTCGGGTGTCTCGCGAGACACCCCAGAGTTGCAAAAGCAGAAACGAAATAAATTAATTCATTTTTTCATTTTTTCTTTTTCGGGCTTTCCAGCGGCCCCCCAAACCCTAAACCCTAAACCCTAAACCCTAAACCCTAAACCCTAAACCCTAGCTCACAATGCCGCTGTCCGCCGAGAACGAACTTTACATCCCTTGCTACTACTACATCCATTCTCAAAAAGAATCTGCAAAACCCGCTTCGGAAGATGACGACATCGACCTTTTCGGTGAGCAGCTGCTGCTGCTGCTGCTGCTGCTGCTGCTGCTGCTGCTGCTGCTGCTGCTGCTGCTGGGGTGTACGTACACCTGGGAAGTAGTGTCACACTATTAGAGTGTTTTGAATGAAGTTTGAAAGATTAAAACTGCATTTAAACACCATTAGAGTGTTTTGAATGAAGTTTAAAAGATTAAAAGTGCATTTAAACACTTTTAAAGTCTTTGAAGAAAGCTTCCAACTGTCGCGCGCGGTGTACGTACACCCCGCAGGCGAGGACGCGGAGGACTCTGCTGCTGCGCTGAAGCAGCTGACAGCAGCAAAGAAGCAGCAGCAGCAGCAGCAGCAGCAGCAGCAGCAGCAGCGGAAGCAGAAGCAGCCAGTGGTGAACAAGTCCATGTTGGTGATTGAAGTGAAGCCAAATGATGCAGAAACAGATTTAAATGAAATTGGAAAAGAAATAAAACAAATTCAAATTGAAGGCCTCACTTGGGGAGAAAACCAAAAGAAAGTGCCCCTGGCCTTCGGGCTCTACAAGCTCCAGGTCCAAACCCTAAACCCTAAACCCTAAACCCTAAACCCTAGCGGGGCCCCGAACCCTAAACCCGCAGTCCGGTTCCCAAACCCTAAACCCTAGGTTGGCCTAGCCGTAGAGTCCTCTCTGTAGAGTCTTCAGCCCAAGCCCGAAACCCTCGAAGTGGACCCCAAGCTCCAAATTGGGGTTTAGGGTTTAGGGTTTAGGGTTTAGGGTTTAGGGTTTAGGGTTTAGGGTTTAGGGTTTACGTCGAGTCGGCAGCGAATGAGGAAATGCAGAAAATAAATGTGAAGAGGGTTTTGAATGAATTTAAATTCAAAAATAAATCCAAATTTAAAAATTAAAATTTAAATTTGAATTTAATCTTCAAAATAAAATTAAAATAAAAAGTAATTCACACAAATGGTACTTTGCTGAATTGGAATTTTTTTTAACTTTTTCGTTTTTTGAATTTTGAATTTATTTTTCTTCAAGTAAATACTTTTTAATTCAATTAAATCTTTCTTTTTTTATTTTGTGTTTTATTAGCTTTTTAAATTGGTTTTTCTCTTCATTTGATTTCTTCAAAGTTGACTTTTTTCTGAAGTGGCATTTCAATTCAGTTCAATTTCTTGAATTCTTTTTTTGAATTAATTTAATTCTTTTTGCATTTATTTAATTTGAATCAAATTTTTGCAAATTAATGCATTCAAATTAAATTGGCTTTTTTGAACTTTCTCGAATTTTTTGTTTCTTGAATTTGAATTTTTCGTCAAAATCGCTTTTGAATTTTGATTTTAATTTCTTTTTAGTTAACTATTTAATTTAATTTAATTTAATTTCCAAAAATGTTTTTTAAATTGCTTTCCTCTTTAATTGTGAACTTCTGGCTTTTTGAACGAATCCCCCGGTGAATTTCAGCTTTCCGAATTTTTTGCATTTCTTTCGGGAATCGTTTTCAAAATATATTTCAAGTTCTTTTTATTGAATTAAATATTATTTGAATTATTTAAATCATATTTGAATTATTTAAATCAGAAAGCAAAAGGGAATCAATTTAATTCACATCCTTTCGAATATTCACTAGCAGCTATCCTACTTGAATTCACAAAGTTGAACATAACCCCTCTAAAGAGTCCAATTTTTAATTTAAAAATATTTATTTCTTTTAAATAATTATTTCTCTTAAATTAATTTGAAAGAAATACTTCAAATTAAATCTCAAGGGAATTTCAAGGGAGTTTCCGCGCAGACCCTTCCTTGCATGCATTTCGTCATTTCTTCGTTTCGCCTCTAAAAAGCCCAATTTTGGCGCCATTTTCGGCGCGTTTTCGGGAAATAAATGAAAAAAAGCGAATTAAATTAAATTAAAATGAAATTCGAGTGAAATTGGAGTGAAATTCGAGTGAAGTTGTGCGAAGTTGAACGAAACTTGAATTTTTTGCAAGTTTTTTTGCAACTGCGCAGGTGCAATGCGTGATTGTAGACGATCTGGTGAACACAGACACTGTGATAGAACGAATTGAAGAAATTGGACTTTCGGAAGAAAACAAAATCAAAAAAAGAAAACTTTTGGAAGAAAACGAAAACGACTCTGAAGACGAAGACGAACTCCACGGACTCGTCCAGTCCGCGCAGATCGTTTCCTTCAACAAGCTCTAGACGCCCCACGCCCGCCTGGCTAGCTAGCTAGCTAGCTAGCTGGCTGGCTAGCCAGCTACTAGCTGGCTAGCTAGCCAGCTAGTAGCTAGCTAGCTGGCTAGCCAGCGAAACAAGGAGGCGAGAAGGCGGAGGAGCTAGCTGGGGTTTGGGCTACAGATGGCTCGGGGTTGCGGGCTAGCTAGCTAGCTAGCTAGCTAGCTAGCTAGCCAGCTAGCTAGCTAGCTAGCTGACGAGCCATGTAACTAGCTAGCTAATGGCTAGCTAGTTAGCTGGCTAGTTAGCTGGCTGGCTAGCTGGCTAGCTAGTTGTTTTGAGGTGTATGGACAGCTGGAGGCCGTGCGCTTTCCTTTAATTTGAATTCGAAGTCAAATCATTTCTGTTGCCTTTTGAAATTTTCCTGTCGGAGCTTTTTGGCTTCCTCAGAAGCCAGCTGCTGGGCAGCTAGCTAGGCAACGAGCTCGGTAGCTAGCTAGCTAGCTAGCTAGCTAGCTCCTTACCTAGTTGGCTAGCTAGCTGAAGCCAACTGCTGGGCAGCTAGCTAGATAACGAGCTCGGTAGCAAGCTAGCTAGCTAGCTACCTAGCTGCCTAACTACTTACCTAGCTAGCTGGCTAGCTCTAGCTAGCTGGCTAGCCACCTAGCTAACTACCCACCGAACTACCTAGCTAGCTAGCTAGATAACGAGCCCATTGGCTAGCTAGCTAGCTAGCTAGTTGCCTAATTGCTTACCTAGTTGGCTAGCTAGCTAGCTAGCTAGCTAGCCACCAAGCTAACTGCCCACCTAACTGCCTAGCTAGCTATCTAGCTTAATAGCTAGCTGGTTGGCTGCCTGGCTAGCTAGCTGACTAGCTAGCTAGCTAGCCACTTGGCTAGCTGAACGATGAGCAAATGTAGCTGCGCACTTTTTTGTTTTCGAAGAAGAGCAAATAAAAGCAAAGAAAGAATAATAAATAAAATAAATGAAGAAAAAGAAACAAAATAAAGAAAAAGAAATAAAAAGAAATAAATAAAATTTAACTCTTCAGAGTTCGTCAAGGTCCAAAGAAATCTCCTCCTCGACGCGCCTCACCAAGGGGGGCCCCTTGGGAAGAATGCGGGGCTCTTCAGCTGCAGCACAAAACCACAAAAAAGGGTTTAGGGTTTAGGGTTTAGGGTTTAGGGTTTAGGGTTTAGGGTTTGGGGTTTAGGGTTTGGGTGGGTTGCTGCGCAGGGTGGGGGCTCGACAGCTTCCGTTCGGCGGTTTGCTGCTTGCTGCGGCAAGTCCACCGTTTCAGGGTTTAGGGTTTAGGGTTTAGGGTTTAGGGTTTAGGGTTTAGGGTTTACGGTTGTCTGCGAAGGGGTCGTATTGTGCTCCAATTATGTTGAGAATGAGTTTTCTTTGTTTTGCAAAATCCTGAAAAGGAGGATCTGTCCAGTGGGGCCACGGGAATTCATTTAATTCATTTAAATCATTTTTTTCATTTAATTCATTTAAATCTTTTGAATCATTTAAATCATTTAACTCAATTGTTTCGTTTAAATCATTTAATTCATTTGTTTTATTTATTTCATTTGTTTTATTTATTTCACTTGTTTTATTTATTTCAATTTCGTTTTTTTCATTTTTATTTTTATTTGTTTCTTCTTTATCTTCCAGATTTGTTTCTTTTGCTTCTTTGTTTGTTTCTGCAGTTATTTGATTTATTTCTTCTTTCATTTCTTTTATTTCTTTTATTTCTTCTTTTATTTCTTTTGTTTTATCTTTTTCCTTTTCATCTTTTTTTGTTTTCTCTTTTTTCGCTCCAAACATTTCCCGCAATTTCCGCAAAACGGCCAAACGGTCTTCATCTGAAGGGCAGCTGCAGCAGCAGCAGCAGCAGCAGCAGCAGCAGCAACAGCAGCAGCAACAGCAGCAGCAGCAAGTTCTTTTCTTTGTTCTTATTGTCTGTTCATCTTTTAATTTAGTTTTATTTATTTAGAAATGAAAACGAAATCAAGGGCACTCGGTCGCATGCATTTGACTGTACATACACCGCGAGAAAGAGAAACAGCTGCTCGAAAACTTTTCGAAAATTTTGCAAAAAGTTTGAAATATATTTCCAATTTCTTTTTTCATGCATGCAAAGATGTGAACAATTGCAAACAGCTTTCTGCAAGAGAATTTGAGACAAAAAAGGATTTAAAATTAAAATCAAATTCGAAAATAAAACAAAAATGAACCATTCACATGCTGAAGCACAACAGCCTTTCTGGAAAGACGAAATAGACAAAAAGAACCAATTAAATACTTATTGAATCTTTTCAAAAAGCATATTTAATGATATTTAAACAAATTTATTATTTTTTTGCATTTCAAGAAAACTAGAAAAAGAAGACTTTCGAAAACGGGGGAAATTGGGGTGTCTGTACACCGCAATTTCACGAGAGTCAACACGCGCATTTTCGGAATGGGAGTCAAAAGTCGGCAAATAAATAAAACAAAAACAAAAATAAATGTTTTTATTTTATATTTTTAATTATATTTCATATTTATTCAACAATTAAGACTTTCCAAAGTCCCAAATGCAAACACAAGAGGCGGCCGCAGCCGCATGCGCCGAAACATTTCTTGCGGCCTACAAGAAATACGAATTGAAATAAAAATAAAGAACTTGAAGTGAACTTTAAATTAAAATTTAATATAATTTAATATAATTTATTTTATTTAATTTAATTTAATTTAATTTAATTTAATTTAATTTGAACTCCTTTCACTTACACTACGGAGCTGCTGCAGCGCTGCGCAGACAGCGGAATGTTATTCTGGTTGGCGCGGAGGATCGCGAGCCACTCGAGGTCAAATCTGAATTCAATTAAATTAAATTAAATCAAATTAAATCAAATAAAATTAAATTAAATTAAATTAAATTAAAAAGTAAATTAAAAATTAAATTAAAAATAAAACAAACAAAACAATTAAACAAAGAAATGCATGCAATAAAACCCACTAAAAAAGATATAGAAGAACGCGCAGCAGCGCAGCAGCAGCAGCACAATAACTGCCCCAGAGGCTGTTCAGCTTGCTCTCTATCCTAAACCCTAAACCCTAAACCCTAAACCCCAAACCCTAGCCCTAACCCCTAAACCCTGACCCTTTGACCAGAAAACGCGAGCCGCAAACCCTAAACCCGAAACCCTAAACCCGAAGCCCCAACCCTAACCCCTGGACCAAAAACCATGCGGCAGCAGCCCTAAACCCTAAACCCTAAACCCCAAACCCTAAGCTTGGCCCCTGGAGCAGAAACGACAAAGCACCAGCCCCAAACCCTAAACCCTAAACCCTAAACCCTAAACCCTGGAGGCTCACTCGATCGTGAGGGGTTGCTGAATGTTGGTGTGGGGCGAAGGCCTTTTGAGGTATTTGTTGGGGACTTTGGGGTGTATGTCCACCACCTGGAGGCAGCTTCTTCCCGGAAGCACTTTGTCAAGTGCCAGAAAATTAGTTTGCAGATTTTTGTCATGAAAATAAATGGCGGGAAAGCAAACGTGAAGATGGCCCGAAAACCAGAAACTCCTGCGGTGTCTCGACAGACACACGGAGAGTTCGGGTGTCTGTACACCCCAGCGCGTCCTGCGCACTTGAATTCAAGTTTTTTTCTCTCCTCTTTGTCGCGGATTTCATTTCTAGATTTGTTTAATTCCATTTATTTGCATTAAGTAGCTTTTTATTTTCAAAAAGAAGGAAAAAAATCGAAAAAAAAAGAAAAAAGACAAAATTTGAAAACAGGCGATGCATGCGCTCGGGTGTACGTACGGCTTCATGCTCTTCAACAACGCCATTGCAGGAGGACTTCCCAAACTTTTATTATTTATATCTTTTCGAAATGCAGGTTTTATTCTCAACAAACTTTGCTTGTCTCCGTAGTTGTAGATGCCCTCCGGCCAGTCGTGGCTCAGCATTATGTCCACGTGGCCCTCAATCTGCACAAACCCTAAACCCTAAACCCTAAACCCTGAACCCTAAACCCAAAACCCTAAACCCTAAACCCTAAATTCCGAGCCCTAGACCCTAAACCCTGAACCCTAACCCAAACCCCAAACCCTAATCTCTACACGCCAAATGCCCTGAACCCCAAACCCCAACCCCCAAACCCTAAGCCCAACCCCTAAACCCTAAACCCTAAACCCTAATCCCGCTGCCGGCGTCTGCTGCTGCAGCGCGTGTGCGTGGTGGGCAAAACCCTAGGCCTTGAGAAATGAAAAAGTGAATTTTAATTTTCGAAAATAAATTCAGTTTTCGCAGCTTTCAGGTGTACGTACACAGTGCAGCTTCAGCAACTCAAACTCCCGCACGTGGTAAGCGCTGCGGCTGGTGCTTTCGCTGTAGGGGGGTTTTTCAAAGTGGCCTGAAGCGACAAACCCTAAACCCTAAACCCTAAACCCTAAACCCTAAACCCTAGCGCTAAACCCTGAACCCTTGGCCTCCGCAGCGAACCCCGAACCCTAAACCCTCCGCCACCCCAGCTGCCGGCGAACCCGAGAGCCAGAGCCTCCAAACACCCAGCCCCAAACCCTAAACCCTAAACCCTAAACCCTAAACCCTAAACCCTAAACCCTGACCGAGATGGTAGTGCTGTTCGTTGTAAATGCCGGAGACGCCCGCAATGCGAAGTCCACCAACATTAACAACTCCAGAATATCCCAAAAAGAAAATGTTCGGCGCCAGCCATCCTCCGTAGTAGCTGTACATACACCCCAAGCTGTACATACACCCCAAGCTGTACATACACCCCGAGCTGTGCATACACCCCAAGCTGTACATACACCCCAATCTGGCTTCAGCCCGCAGCCAAACAACTGCTCCTAAGTATTAATTTGTTTATCTACCTATTTTATTTATTTATTTATTTATTTATTTATTTATTTATTTATTTATTTATTTATTTATTTATTTATTTATAATTCCTTTTTGTCCTGAAGAATGCAACTTTTAATTAAGCTTCATCGACGCCAATTGAGCAACTGCTCCCCTTCTCTGCCCTTCGGCGGCTTTACGCCTCCGCCCGTCTATTTGCAGCAGCAGCAGCAGCGACAGCAGCAGCAGCAGCAACAGCAGCACTGCAGCAGCAGCACTGCAGCAGCAGCGTTGCAGCAGCACCCCAACAGCCTTCCAGCAGCACTGCAGCAGCAGCAGCCCTGCAGCAGCAGCCCTGCAGCAGCAGCCCTGCAGCAGCAGCCCTGCAGCAACAGCCCTGCAGCAGCAGCAGCAGCGCTGCAGCAGCAGCAGCAGCAGCAGCGCTGCAGCAGCAGCAGCAGCAGCAGCAGCAACGCACAGCTGCCTGAGGACGTTGGGGGCCTCGTGGTTGCCGCCGACGAGCAAAGTGAGGCGGGGGGCCCTTTTGAGGCCCCGGAAGTACTTGTGGAAGTCTTTGAGGACTTTGTACTTTTGGGGCGCGTGGAAATATTGCAAGTCCGACTCAAATCGCAGACTCTGCAAACCCTCAACAAAACCCTCAACAAACCCTTTTCTCTTCCCTCCAAACCCCCACCAGCAAACCCCTCAACCCAAACCCTAATCGGGGGTTTAAACCCTCAAAAACGCGCTCAAAACCACCCCGGGGGCCCCTCGGGGGGCCCCCGGCCCCCGGGGCCCTCAAGGGGCCCCCAGGGTACCGGGGGCCCCTCGGGGGCCCCGCGGCTGCCAGGGGCCCTAAGGGGGCCCCCAAGGGGGCCCCCAAGGGGCCCCATGGGTACTGGGGGCCCCAGGGGTACTGCCGGGCCCCAACGGGGCCCCTCAAGGGGCCCCTCAAGGGGCCCCTCAAGGGGCCCCTCAAGGGGCCCCTCAAGGGGCCCCTAAAGGGGCCCCAGGGGTACTGGGGGCCCCCAGGGGCCCCCAAGAGGGGCCTTGGAGATATTAAAGTCTTAGGAAATGGAGAAATAAATTAAAAAGAAATAAAAGAAATAAAAGTGCCAGTCTTTGGGCGCATGCATTAAATTGCATTTGAAATCTTTTGGATCGTTTTTCGACTAATATGTAGGGTATGTCTTGAAGCTTTGAATGCCATTTAAATGGCATTTAAATGCAATTTAAATGCCATTTAAATGGCATTTAAGTGGCATTTAAATGGCATTTAAGTGGCATTTAAGTGGCATTTAAATGGCATTTAAATGGCACTTAAATGGCATTTAAATGGCATTTATATGGCATTTATATGGCATTTAAATGGCGTTTAAATGGCGTTTAAAATGGCAATAATATTCCATTTAAGTGGCATTTAAATGGCATTTAAATGGCACTTAAACGGCATTAAAATGGCATTTAAATGGCACTTAAATGGCATTTAAATGGCATTTAAATGGCACTTAAATGGCATTTAAATGGCATTTAAGTGGCATTTAAATGCCATTTAAATGCCATTTAAATGCCACTTAAATGGCATTTGAATGGCATTTAAATGGCACTTAAATGGCACTCAAATGGCAGTTAAATGGCATTTATGTAGCACTTAAATGGCATTTAAATGGCATTTATATGGCATTATAATGGCATTTAAATGGCATTTAAATGGCATTTAAAATAGCACTTAAATGGCATTAAAATGGCATTTAAATGGCATTAAAATGGCACTTAAATGGCATTAAAATGGCACTTAAATAGCATTAAAATGGCATTTAAATGGCATTAAAATGGCATTTAAATGGCATTTAAAATAGCACTTAAATGGCATTAAAATGGCATTTAAATGGCATTAAAATGGCACTTAAATGGCATTAAAATGGCATTTAAATGGCACTAAAATGGCATTTAAATGGCATTTAAAATGCAATTAAATGGCACTAAAATGGCATTTAAATGGCACTAAAAGAACTTCTTTTTGAAGTCCACCTCGAAGTCTCCGCAGCAAATCAAAAGATCGACTTTTATGTTTTCTTTTTCTTCGAGCTGCTGCAGCATTCCATAAAGCGCGTCCAGCTCGCCGTGGCAGCAGCCGTTTATGGCCACCTGCGCAGCAGCAACGCCCCACACTGCTGCTGCTGCTGCTGCTGCTGCTGCTGCTGCAGGCGGAAGCTGCTTTGGGGCTCTGCGGGAGTGGGGGTTTGTTATTTTTGTGTTCTTTTTTCTTTTCTCTTTTTGCTTTTAAGTTTTTCTTTTTAATTCAAAACTTGCAATTCAGAATTGCAGAAACACGAGACAAGAAAACAAAATGCGAAAGAGAAAGCACGGCCACGCTCGTGTCACCAAACAAACAAAACCCTAAACCCTAAACCCTAAACCCTAAACCCTAAACCCTAAACCCTAAACCCTAGGGAAGCGTTGGCGGCTGGGGGTGCAGCATTCCTCACCTTCATTTTCCCCAGGAAGAACCCAGAAGATCCTAAAGCTTTCTTTTCCAATTAGTTCAATTAATATTCTGCATTTTAAGAAATCAGAAAAAGATCCGTGGGGAACTGCTGGTCACCTGCTGGACCTCATCTGCGCGGTGCGATCGGCAGTGGAAACTGAAGTTTCAGAGGGGAAACTGGCCGCAAAATCGACTCTCAAGCATGTTTTTCTGCAAATTAAGAAGTTTAAAGTTTAATAAAAAGAAAAAATGCGAAATATGAACGGAGGAAACTTCTGAAAAGCTTCCGAAATCAGGTCTTAGGTTTCCGGTCAGCGATGCGCAGGTGTACATACACCTCGAACCAAATCGACCCGTACGCCAAAAAACGAGAAAAATAAAAACCTTCAAATAAATTAATTGCAGTTTAGTTTTATTAATCAAAAACTAATCTTTCTAGCCACCAGCTTCTCCTTTTCGCTGAGGGCCCCCCCGTGGGGCTTCCGGGGCTGCTCACGAGTTCAAGTTGTTGCAATTGGCTTTTCCTGTTCCACTTGAAAAAACGGGATTAAAATTGCATTTTAATCTCAAATTTCAAATTTAAAAGAATTAATTCTTATTTTTTAATTCAATAATCATCTCGGCAGCCACAGTTCCTCTCATTTCTTTCACTTTTGTTGAATTTGGATTTTTTTGAGTCCGCTGTCGACTGCAGCGCCGAAACTCCCAAAAACTTCGCAAAAAAGGCAAAAAAGAGGATTTTAATTTCAATTTTGTTTCTTTTAATTAAATTTATTCTTCATTTGTCTTTATTTCCCTCAATAATTTTGTTTCTTTTAATTAATTTTATTTATTTGTCTTTATTCCCCTCAAGTGGCAAAAGAAAGCCACAAGAAACTCCACAGCCCGGGTAGGCGACACCAGCGGCCACGGGGAGCTCCAGCTAGCTAGCAGCTAGCTGCAGTTAGCCACAGCTAGCTACAGCTAGCCATAGCTGGCTACAGCGAGCTACAGCTAGCTACAGGAGCTACAGCTAGCTACAGCGAGCTGCAGCTCGCTGCAGCTAGTTCCGGCGAGCTTGTACAGCTAGCTACAGCTAGCCTCAGCGAGCTGCAGCTAGCTACAGCTAGCTACAGCTAGCCACAGCTAGCCACAGCTAGCTATAGTTAGCTACAGCTAGCTACAGCTAGCTACAACGAGCTGCTGCTGGAAGAAGCCGCCGTTTGCCCGCTTCATAAGAAGTTGAGACTCGCAGAAGATAGCTGCAGCTAGCCACCTCTAGCTAGCTGCAGCTAGCCACCTCTAGATAGCTGCAGCTAGCCACCTCTAGATAGCTGCAGCTAGCCACCTCTGGCTAGCTGCAGCTAGCCACCTCTAGCTAGCTGCAGCTAGCCACCTCTAGCTAGCTGCGGCAGCTAGCTGTGGCTAGCCACAGGTCTGCTTTCAGCCAGAGGAGGCTTTAGCCTCTCTAGAAGTTTGTTTGTTTTCAAATAAAATGAAGACAAAAAAGAATTGCACAAGTTTTATTTATTTTAATTAACTGCTTTTGAAAAAGTCAGCTTTTATTATTTAAACTAATTGCTTCTTGAAATGAGATTAGAGTGGCAGCAAGAAGTCCTCTGCAGCAGCAGCAGCAGCAGCAGCAGCAGCAGCAGCAGCAGCAGCAGCAGCAAATCTGGGGCTGCTGCTGGCGACTCCATTGCATGTGTTCTCTTTTTTAAAGTAAAAATAAAAGCAGGTAAATGTTTTCTCTTGAAGCTTAAAGCCTAGGGTTTAGGGTTTAGGGTTTAGGGTTTGGCTTCTCAGAAGTCCTTAAAAGCATTTCTTTTCTTTCTAATTAATTTCTTTTAATTTAATTTATTTTATTTTAATTTTTATTTAATTAAATTAAACATTTAAATAAATAAATGCTTTTGCAAAGCAGCGGCAGCAGCAGATCCTTTTCAATTGAATTCATTTTTTGTGGAATTCAGAAAAGTTGAAAATAAATTAAATAATTAAATACAAAAATAATTATAATTTAATCCCGAGTAGACTTTTTTCATCTTTTTTTTATTTTCATTTCGAAACAAAAATGAAGTTTTATTTCATGTTGAAGAAGAAAAAGGGGAACCAAAGACTTCTCAATTTTCAAATTTATTTTCTCGATTTGGAATTCCAAAAAGAATAAAATCTAATTATTTTACTTTTAACCCTAAACCCTAAACCCTAAACCCTAAACCCTAAACCCTTGAATTGTTCAGTCTTGGGACTCGAAGCCTCAGGCTATCCTCTACTTCTGCAGGCCTCGCTGGAGCAAAACCCCAAAACCTAAGCTTTCGGGTTTAAACCCTAAACCCTAAACCCTGACTAAACCCTAAACCCTAAACCCTAAACCCTGTCTACACCCTAAACCCTAAACCCTAAACTAGGCGCTGAAACCAAAAGCCTGAGGAAAACAAAAAACAAGATTGAGTAACTGAAGCTTTCACTATGTTAAAAACTAAAAGTAAAATAAAATAAATTAAAACTAATTATGTTTTTCTTGCAAGAAAAGCCTGACGCGTCAAACTGCAAAAAAGGGAAATGTCTTTTTCATTTTCTTTGTTGAAGACAAAAAGATAAAACCCTTTCAGGCAAATATAAACAGCTGTAAGATTATATATATACAGGCCCTCCCCTGCACGCTAAAGGGGAAAGCCCAAAACCCTAAACCCTAAACCCTAAACCCCAAACCCTAAACCCTAAACCCTAAACCCTAAAGGTGTTTCAGTCCACTTGAAAGCCCTCGCTGCGCAGACACTGTTTGTGGGCCTCAATGAAGGCTCTGCACTTTTCCTCTCCGTTCAAAACGATGCATTCATCTCTGGCGGCTTTGGTTTCCTTGCAGACGCAGCAAATGGCTTTGCCCGCGGCGTTTCGCTGCGGCGGGCACTTCGGGGGGGAACTCGCGGGAAAATTCGGAGATTCTTTTGAAAAATTCGAAGAAGTTTCTTTAAAAGGACAAAAAGAAGCTCCAGAAGAGGAACTTGAACCAGTTTCCTCCTTTGTCGCGCGAGACGCAGACGAAGTTGAACCCCCCATTGCAGCTCGGGTTTCAACTGCAGCAGAGACCGTAAATGAGCTCCTCCGGGGAAAAAAATCGACAAAGTTGCGCGAAATATCAATTAATTCATTAATTACAACTCAAATTCAAAAAAAATGATGCTTTACTTGGAAAGGAGCTGAGAAACAGCGAAGCAGTTGCGGTGTATGGACAGCTCGCGCGGGGCGAACTCGAGAGAGGGAAAACCGCCAAAATGGAGCGCAGAAAAGTAATTCCACTTTTCCAATTCTTGAAAAACAAATAATTCAAAAGAACAAAGCTTGCAAAGAACCCTGTCTCCCGTTTGATCCGCCGCCGAGCGAAACAAGCGAAAGACCCTGCTGCTGCTGCTGCTGCTGCTGCTGCAGAAAGAAGAGGAAAGCGCAGCAAAATGAAGTAAACTCAACAGCAAAAATGTTCTTTTTGCATTTTTTATTCAACAGAAAACATCTGCTGGCGATTTGAACCTCCACTGCAGCTTCTTCCCGAACTTGCAAATGGGGGGCCCCCCCTTGAACTGGTTTTGGGGCCCCCCGCAGGCGCCTTGGCTGCGAGCCTTCGCGGAAGCTGCGTCATTTCGCTTTAAAAATTAATTAATTAATTTATTTATTTATTTATTTCTTTATTCAAGTTTGTTTTTTCTTTTTTGGCCACAGTTCTGCTTAAAATGGCCTTCTTGGCCCGCAGCTTCCCCTGCAGCTTTCCCCCCCCTCGGGCCATTCCTTTGCCTCTTTCGCCCTCAACTCTTTCTTTATAATCCAAACTTTTTATTTCCACTTTTTAACTTCAAAGTCTTCAACTCAATTTCTCTCAACAAAGCCCCCCCCCACCATGAAAGCCCGCAAGGCCTTCCAGCCCAGTACCCTCCAGGGGGCCTCCAAGGGGGCCCCCGGGGGGGCCCCCCGGGGGGCCCCTCGGGGGGACCCCCAGGGGGGTCCCCAGGGGGCCCCCACGGGGGCCCCCCCGGGGGCCCCCAGGGGGGCCCCCAGGGGGGCCCCCAAAAAGCCCTCTGCAGCAAAAGGCGCACTGAGGAAGAAACGGCGAGTGTGGGTACAGCCGAAAGATAAGAGTTTGGGGAGAAAACATTTTTTGCAAGTTCGAGACAGCAGAGCTCGGAGTGTTTTTGAAAAGTTGCAAAAGAAAGAAAAAGAAAAAGAATTAAAAGAAGAATTAAATCAAAAAGAATTAAATGAAAAAGAATTAAAAGAAAAAGAATTAAAAGAAAAAGAATTAAATCCAAAAGCCCTGTTGGCCCCCGTGGCCTCCGCAAGCGACAATGACGCCTTTCTGGAACAGCTCATGAATCCCTTCGGAAAGCCCAAGCAGCAGCAGCAGCAGCAGCAGCAGCAGCAGCAGCAGCAGCAGCAAGAAGCAGCAGCAGCAAGTGCAGCAGGGAATGAATCCACAGGCAGAGGCAAAAGGCGAGAGAAAAACGAACATAACAGAGACGCAGCAGCAGCAACAACAGCAGCAGCAGCAGCAGCGGATCAGGCTGCTGCAGCACCGACTGCTGCTGCTGCTGCTGCTGCTGCTGCTGCTGCTGCTTCTGGGAAGTCTTCGCTGAAAGACAAAAAGGGATATATGCCTTTTTTGAAAGCTCAGAGAGAATTCGAAATGAAGCAAAAGGCAAAAGAAGAAGAGAGACTGGCGAGGCTGGCAGAAGCTGAAAAAGAAAGAAAAAGAAAAAATGAAAAACGAAAACTAAACAAAATTACTCACCGGAAGCTGCAGGCGAGGACGAAGAAGGGCCAAATTGTCATGGGGAATGTAGTTGAAGTTCTGCTTCAGAAAATGCACAAAAATGCGCAAAAAAGCAACTAATAATGCGCAAAAGTGTTTTAAAATTGCAAATAATGCTCAGAAATGGTTTTAAAATCCCAAATAATGCAAAAATTGCGCAAAAATGTAACAAATAAGTGAAGTGAACATTCAGAAACAATGCAGCGCGCCGTTACCGCTGTGGTGTATCGACACCTGAAGACTTTTGCAAATTCAACTTTTGTTTTTGTTAAAACGCTTTGCATAATAAAAAATTGCGAAAAGAAATGCAATTTATATTTAAATAATTATAAATGCAATTTATGTTCCAAGTTTCAAAGAAATAGGCTCTAGATTTGAATTTATCTCAACTTCCGTTCTGCTCACCGAAAGATTCATTTCAACTCCGCATTTCTTAATGCAGCAGTTCAGCTGGGGAATTAAAAGAAGAGAAAATGAAAATAAAAACAATAAATGTAAATTATAAATGACACAGAACAGTAGAAGCAGCAGCAGAATTAAATATTTTATTTTTTCAAGTTTTTCAAATCCTCCAGTTTGAATATTCTCTTTCGCCGTGGAACTGCGGCTACGGGACTTCGCAGCTTTTGCCTTATTTTAAAATTTGGAATTTTGTTTTTTATTTTTAAAATAAAAAACAAAAAAGAATTTATTTCGAATTTCGTCATTTTTTACTCTATTTATTTATTTATTCATTTATTTATTTATTTATTTGTTTATTTATTTATTTTCTTTGTTTTTGAGAAACAAGGGGTTTCCTTCCCCGCTGCTGTGAAAAGAAATATCAGTTTTTTTCTTTTTTCACGAAAAATATGACTTTTCTTCTTTATCAAATTAAAAATGGAAACAAAATAATGCAATTTTTAATAGTGATGCTTTTCAGAAATAGTTTTTTCGAAAAGTCATTTAATGGCATTTTTGCATGCGTTCTGCTGCAGCTGGGAAATCTGTTTCCGCGTTTTTGCAACTTTTGTTTAACATAAATATAATGCATTTAATTGACAAGTTAAATTCAATTTTCAAATTAAAAAGACAATTTAAATCCAATTTGCAAATTAAAACTTCCTCTTGCAAAAAATGAGAACAAGAGGCCACTGACACTTCATCTGAAGAGGCTTTGACTTCCCTGTTTCGAAGTCACTTGACCAGCAGCAGCAGCAGCAGCAGCAGCAGCAGCAACAGCAGCAGCAGCAGCAGCAGCAGCAGCAACAACAAGAATAACTCCGACAGCAAAATGAGGATATACAAGGTCCTGAAATCCACAGTTTCAAAGTGTTTTCTGCGACTCTTTGCATATTTCCTGAAACTTAATTTATTTTTATTAAAGTTTGAATTAAATTCCAGAAAATTTATAAAAGGTGAAACTAAACAATTAAACCATCTCCTTTCATTTATTTGTCCATTTTAGGCATTTCAGCTGCACAGGACCTCTGGCTGCTGCTCTCCAGCCAAGAAAAATGCAAGAAGCAGCAGCAGCAGCAGCAGCAGCAGCAGCAGCAGCAGCAGCAGCAATAGTATTATGCCGAAATAAAAATTTAGTAGAAGCAGTTTTGTGATAAATGACTTTTCTTGAAATTGTTTCCGGGTGGGGAAACAACAGCGCGGAAAAAACTTTTCTGAAAAGTGATTTTTAATTTGAAATAAAAGACTTTTCTGAAATGTGATTTTCAATTTGAAGTTCGGCAAAAGAAAACTAATCAAAGAATTGAATGCTTCTTGGCAGCAAGCAGCAGCAAAAGAGCAGCAAATAGCAGAAAAGAATTAATTTAAACTTTTAAATAATTTAAACTTTTAAATTAAATTAAAATTGTCAAAGTTTTCAAAAAGGAAACAGGAAAACAACTTTTGCAGAACCTCCAGCTCCCGTGGCTCAGCTGGTTAGAGCGTTGGTCTTATGAACCGAAGGTCAGGGGTTCGAGCCCCCTCGGGAGCACTTTTATAATTTTAATTTTTGTTTTTTATTCGAATTTTTTTATCTTTTTCTTCAATTAAAAGACTTTTAAAGCATTGAACACTTCAAAGAACGCAAGAAATGGCCGGAAAACTGCTGCTTTCCGTTCGCACTACTGGCATTGTGTCCAACTGGCATGAGGGCTAAGGAAAAGCCAAAAAACTGAAACTTGAAAAAATGATGATGCGAAATTAGTTTGAATTGCGTTTCTGGTGTATGTACAACTCAGCGAGTCCGCTGGACAGCAGTTTCCACTCCGTCACTTCAATTAAACTGCAGTGCAAATCGACCCCACGGCTCTCGCGGGGTTTTGCCGCTTTATTGCATTCAATCTTCGTTTAAAAGACCAGAAATGGCCAATTATAAGATTGCTGTTGTAATTTTTATTAAGAAAAGTTGATTTTCGCAGTTGCAGCTGAGAAAAGAATCGGCTGCGGAAGCCTCGGGAAGCCCTGAGAGTTGCATGCGCGTGGGGCCCCGGCTGCTGCCTGCAAATGCGGCGCGGCACAAATGAGTAATTTGAATAAAAAGGAATTTAATTGATGGAATAAAGCGCAGAAAATGAAGGAAGATCGCCCTTTGGGCCTGCGTTCCGACGCGGAGTTCGCGGCGGCGGTGCGGGAGCTGGTGAACAAGTGCCGCGAGAGCACAAGTCCGAAAGAACTGCTAGAAAGCTGCGAAAGTCTGTTTCGTCTGCTGCGGGACAAAAAAATAGAACTGGAAGTGCCTTATATTCCCTCAGAACTGCAGCAGCAGCAGCAGCAGCAGCAGCAGCAGCAGCAGCAGCCGGCATTTGCGCAGTGGCTGCAGCAGTCATTTCACGTTTTCGTGGCGATTGTGTTCGAGTTGGTCGAATCCAGCGAAGCTCCCCTCCAAAAGTTGGGACTTTCTTATTTATTTCGAATTTTAAAACACGAATCTGAAGTTCACAAGTCTTCAGCTTTCCCTCTTGCAACTTTTCAAGTTTTCGCCGCCCGCCTGCTGCAGGCCAACGCCTTCCCCGGCTACTTGCAAGACTTGCTGCTGAAGGAATATCTCCACAAGTACCTGGACCTTCGCTACTACACGCTGGTGGTCATTTTGAAGATCCTCAGGGAGTTCGTTGCGGAAAAGCACCAGCAGCAAACCCCAGCAGCAGCAGCAGCAGCAGCAGCAGCAGCAGCAGCAGAGGCGGGGCAGCAGGAAGCAGCAGGCAAGGAGTGGTTCAGGTGGCACAGGGGAGAGCGGGAGCTCAGCAGCAGACTGACTTCGCTGCTGCTGCAGATTTCCGACATAATTGCTGCAGGGCCCCGGGGCGGGAGGCGCGGGGGGCCCCCCGGGGCCCCCGGGGGCCCCCCGGGGGCCCCCGGGGGGC